TAAAAATGTTCTTTCCCATAAACTGATAGTCCGACAGCTGTGAAATTTGTACACGTGTCATTTGTGAGTTGAGGTTAAGTTGAAATCATATGGATGCAATACTAGTAGCGCCATCTGCGTGTTAGCCTACGAACTATTCAGCCCATCTAGTATACAAAATAATAGGTGTACAGGTATACGTTAAAATAGTCAAGTGACGTATTCCTGAGACAGTTTTAAAAAAGTCTATATGAACTTGTCTCCGGAAATGCTTCGTTTCTGAGATACAGGGTGTTGAAATTAATTTTTTTGTTCGTGTTTTGAAAATAAATTTTGCAAAAAATGAGTTACTTGCACGAAATACGGTACCCGGGGTTTTTTTGACGTTGGAAATCATAATTTCGTATTGATTTTCATATAACATTTACAGGGTGCTGCGTACGCTGTCATTATTTTGAAATTGCCCTAACAAAAAAGGTACACCTCCTCAACAACGCTGGAGGTGATTGTTTTCGAGATATTTACAATTTTCTAAATCGATGTATATTACTTTATAGTCAAATTTGAATTCAATAAGTTTTGTCACTCTTCGCTTGCAAATTAAGTTAATTAAATCGTGTACTATGAAAGTTTATTTATAAAAATAGAATAGAATAGAATAGAATAGAATATTCATTTACCAATATTTGATACAATAGTGTATATTTGGCACGTCACTTAAATATCACACACAAATAAATATCACAAATGTCACAAATAAATGTAGAGTCATGTAACAAAATGAATAAAAACTGAATCATCACATTTACACACATGAACATATTTACAAATATGATTGTATAATATAACTTATACTTGTCAATTTCACAAAAAAACAGGTGTATATGAGACAAAACAAAATATTTGTCAGGTGTATATGGGATAAAACAAAATACTTACACTACACAAAAAGTTTACACAATGAGGAAATAATTTAGATTCCTCATTCCTCCTATTTTCCCTTTGACAGGTCATTTATTTCTAT